TCACAGTTTCACCATTTAGTTGACCTTGTAACAAGTAGAATCATTCTTGTTTGTCTTACTTTTGCATATCGTTTAAATGAGTTCACATTTGACGCGAAGGCTGAGATCTTAGTTGCTAGGTGTCATGACGTAGAGACCTCACCGTGAGCTGAAGTTCAGAAGTCATGAGTACAAACAAAAACCAACCAACCAAACAAACAACCAAACAAACAAAAGAAAACAACCACATGCTAATCATCTTAAATTTTAAACATGGTGACAGAGAATAAGATCCTAAGATACTACAAGGGCAAAACAAAAAGCAAAACAAAAAGCAAAACAAGGACAAAAAAACCCCCCAAAAAACTAATGTTAAAAAAAAAATAAATAAAAAAATTAATTGCTGTAGTAAGGAGAAATAATAAATGATCCCAGGATGTTTTAGTCTTGTATATGTAGAGATTTTACAGTTGCTAAAAATTCATTAATATGAAACATTTATGTAAGTTTGTAATATGTAACATTTTATTATTTCCCCTAAAATCTAGTTACTCTGGTTACAGTTATCACCTACTGTATAATGTATTTGACTTTATGTATTTGTATGTATTTTATGTATTTGACAGCTGGTAGAATTAAAAACCCATTAAATATATAGATATAAATCTAAAAAATCAACACACAATTTGCAAACTGTAATTTGAGTCGTTAAAGGTTTTTTTTTTTTTTTTTTTTTTTTTTTTTTTTTTTTTTTTTTTTTTTTTTTTTTTTTTTTTTTTTTTTTTTTTTTTTTTTTTTTTTTCACATGGGCTTTAAAAACTTATTAGGTGGGTTTTTATTAGCTCATTTTCACTCGATAAATCCAACTGATGTTGTTATAAAGATGTAAAGATGTTAAAAAGATTTAAAGTGTGTTAGTACCTTCAAGCAGCCTTCAACATAATGACAACTTTACTGTCTCCACTGGAGTAGCGCTTCTTCTTCGTTTTATTTGTTATGATTACGCTTCTTTTTCTATGGTGCACCATTGCATTGTGCATTACCGCCACCTAGCGAGCAGATGTAGAAATAGCGAATGATGGGAAGTGTCACTCCAGTGCGCATGCGCCGTGGCAAATCTCCCTACAGTACATACAGTACTGGCTTGTGTGCGATGCGTTTACAAGTTAGCATCGGAGAGACACTGTGCAGGTATACAGCAGACATTACAGACCAGTGCATTACAATGCATTACAGTTCACAAAGTAGGGGTTTTATTTTAGTAATAAACGTTGTTGTTGATCATGTGAAGTCAAGACTCAGTAGTTGTTGACATCATGAATCATGCACTATGACACTAGGTCGTTACTAGAAGTCCTAAGGTTATTTCATTCCTAAAAAAAAACAACAACAAAAAAAAAAAACATCACCCATCACGTAGCATTTTCATGCATGGTGCAGGAAGTGTAATACACTGTAAATCTTTGTAATAAAAACAAAATAAATACCAAATTAAAGAGCTCATTGTGTTGTCTGTTTCAGATCCCTGCTCTGTCATCTTCCCATATAAAAAATGAAAAAACAAACAAACAAAAAAAAAAACCCCAAAACAAACAAACAAACAAAAAAAAACCTTTGTGTTGTTGTTCCAAAAATATGTCATACAATATACTTTTTGTACTTCATACAAAAAACAGTTATTCATTTAGATTTGAAGAGCTTTATCCAGGGACCACAAGACTGAATTATCAATAAAATCAGCTCTCATCATCTTGATAAACACAACCTATAATATTATAAGACAATATAATCTAAATATAATTGCAATATTAATTATATAATTAGATACTATACTATATTATAATTATATTGTACAAAACTATAATTGTAATTACATCATAAACTCTCTCTCTCTCTCTCTCTCTCTCTCTCTCTCTCTGTACATTTTTTCTTTATTTAAATCACAGTGTAAAAATGCAGTAAAATTGTGTGGAAACAATGTAATGTGCCATTTTTTTCAGCTCTGAATGCTGCCACGAGATGGCGGATCTCACTCAGGAATCTGTCAGGGCTGAATAGGAAACGCGGCATCAGGGTGTTTATGTCTACAGTGACGACGCTGCCTGAGCTCTACTGCGCATGCGTTAAAGTTTGGACGAGTCAGTCCGCTACGCATGCGTAGACGTAGTCAGTAACCAGCATCTATAACATACAAATGGGATACAAAATGCATACACTTTTATCATTAAAAAAATTATGTAATGTCAGTAATCTTTTTATCATTGATAATTTCAACTGATCAAAACTACCAAATTAAACTCTCTTAATTCCCATAAACAAATGTTTAGTCCTGATCTATAAACATAATTTTATTTGGAATAACCAAAATAATTAATATTAAAAAAAATATAGATTTCAAAATAGGTTTAATAACAATATCTTATATCAATTTATTTGCTATTTCACTACTACACTATATACGTAGTTTTAAATCAATAATACACTCACTGATCGTTCATGCAATTATCCAATCATGCAGGTACAGGTCAAGAGCTTCACTTGATGTTCATATCAGACATCAGAATGGGGGAAAATGTGATCTCAGCCACTATGACTGTGGCATGTTTGTTGGTGTCAGGTGGGCTGGTGTGAGTATTTCAGAAACTGCTAAAATCCTGCTATTTTCACACAGAACAGTCTGTACTCTTAGAATGGTGTGAAAAACAAAGCAGCGATCCTGCAGGTGGAAACGCCTTGTCGATGAGAGAGGTCAGAAGAGAATGGGCAGACTGTTTCGAGCTGACAGAGAGGTCATGGTAACTCAAATAAACCACTCTTTACAACCGTGGTGAGCAGAAAAGCAGCTCAGAACACACAACATGTCAGACCTTAAGGTGGATGGGCTACAACAGCACAAGACCACATACACACCCAGAAGAGAGAAACTACAAATGGCACGAGCAACTCGTCACTTGTGGATTTCTCCATCTTCCTCAGAGTTACGCATGACCTCTCGGGTGCTTATCTGAGTCATGCCCTCTTTACCTGGTCGCTGACTTTTGCGTAACGGCCTCCTCTGAGTCAAATCTGCCCTTATCTGTGGACAAAAAAAATCCACAATGCTCTACAAAAAAACTACAAATGACACCAGAAGAAATACACAGAGATTCAACTCAATTTCTTCTATACAGCTGTTTAGGAATGTTTTAAAGTGGCAAAACTGTTTAAACATACATTACCTCCAAGTGTTTCCTTTTTAACATGCTACTGGCACCTGGTTCCACTTAATCTCTTTTCAGCATCCCATCATTAAGCCACAGTAGCAGCAGAATTAATGTCTGTAGTCTAACTCAGTTCTCTCTTTCATTTTTTTCTGCAAATTACTTGGCAAATTAGCCATGCTGATGTCAGCAAAATGGATGGTTTTCTCCTTTTGGAAGTCACAATGACCAAAGCAAGCCATCAGACAAGAGGTGGTGTCTTGTTCTCAGTGTTTCCAGGATAAGCCTCGGATTCATCGCAACCCGGACTGGAATAAAGCGCTTACTGAAGATGAATGGACAATTGAATATGTTAATGAATGAATTTTATTTTCATTCGATCCCCAGCAAACCCTGACTTTCTGCAGGTCATAGACACTCACACATGCATGTTCATGCGTACAGTACATTTACTGAACTTTAACACTTTATAAATCATAAATTTGGTCTAAGTAATGATTTGAATGTGGATTATTATTATTATTATTATTATTATTTACATAATTTCAATTAAAATCCAAAATTGTAAAAGGTAAAAAGGTAAAATAAAAATGCTCCATACCAATCATGTAACAACATTTACAGATTTACAAAAAACCTTATGATGGCAAGCACATTTCAGTAGACTCCAATATTTATGTGTATACATATATATATATATATATATATATATATATATATATATATATATATATACACACACACACACACACACACACACACACACACACACACACATATATATATATATATATATATATATATATATATATATATATATATATATATATATATATATATATGCCTTCATATATATATAGAAAACTCTTATTATGATATATATCACCAAACATTCAATTCAAGGCAGAAAGTAGAAAATGTGTATTGTACTTATTAAAAGCAAATTGACAAAATCAAGAAACTTTGGATAAAACAAATAAATGTACATTTCTAAGGCTGGCATTAGATCTTGTCCCACTTGGTTCAAATTCAAATTCAAATTTTATTGGTCACATACACAACCATACACAGTACCACGTGCAGTGAAATGCTTTTTTCAACTGTCCGTGACATAAAAATAGAATTTACATAAACTAGAATTTACTTCTAGTCACTTATAAATGGTGTAATAAGCCTTCATCCCTTCTCTAACCAGTCTGAAAGATGTCGTTAATGCTTTAATATCACATTCCTAGATCTTCTATTTCTTTTCTGCGTGTCTTCTCTCTATCTTTTGCTTTATTGTCTATTTTTGTACATTCCTGTACTGCAGTAATGCTTCAGGGACCAGTGCTGAATAATGTGGATTTGCTGGTCATCAGGGACATCAGGAACAATGGGCTTCTGTAGGAATCAGAGGACACAGATGGTTTCTTCACTGGTTTGAAATAAAGGATGCAATGCAGATGAAACATTTCAGCTTCCATTTTGCCTCAGGTCAGTTTAATATGCCAGTTTTGGTGTTATGTGTATTCTCAACAGGAGTGGATTAAAGTAGTATGTTGTAAATATTATATGATATCAGTTGTCTGTAGCAACTGATATCATACAATATTTAATCAATATAGCGTTCTTCTTTTTCTTTCAGCTGCTCCCGTTAGGAGTCGCCACAGCAGATCCTCCGTCTCCCTTATGGAAAACTGATTTTTGATCCACATATTTTTGATTTTGGCACAGGTCTTATGCCGGATGCCCTTCCTGACACAACACTCCCATTTTCTCTTGGCCGGGGACCGGCACTGTGAGGGCACTAGCTTGTGCAACCCCAGTGGCTGGGTTTGGTGACCAGCATAGGGCTCAAACCCAGGATCCTGAGATTAAGAGTCTCGTGCTGTACCAACTGAGCTATCCAGGCATTTAAAAAACTTTTAGTGATGTAAAAATAAATCTTTTTCCACCTTTAGTGTAATATAACCACCAACAAAATTCAACTGAAAAACAAATAGAGACATCTTAGAAAATTTACAATAATCTGGTTGCACAAGTTTGCACACCCCTTCGCTAATATTTTGAAGCCATTCCTTTGTTGACTTGGATTTGTGCCAAAATAGATTGGTACTTGGAGCTATCCATGATCCTCTTTATCTTGAATAGAGCCCCAGTCCCAGCTGAAGAGAAGCAGCCCCATAGCACGATGCTGCCACCACCATGCTTCACCGTGGGTATGATGATCTTTGGGTGATAAGCTGTCTAGATTTTTTGGGCCAAACATATCTTTTAAATTATGCCCAAAAAGTTCTACCTTGGTCTCATTAGACTCTAACACATTTTGCCACATGCTTAGGCAAAATTTAGGTGGACTTGGATGTTTATTTATTTACAGCCTCCCTGATGAGTTTTCTTCTTGTCCTTCCGTCAATGTTGGACGTCCTGTTCTTGGTAATGTAACTGTGGTGCCCCATTTTCACCACTTGTTGATGATGGCCTTCACGGTGTTCCATGGCACTTTTTGGAAATTCTTTTGTACCCTTGACAGCTGCTTGGTCATAAAATATCTGGTTTAAAACACTATGGATTGTTTTGCCCAGAACTGTCAACCTTTCCACATCTGTCTTTTCTGCCTGTGAAATAATGTGTGGTGATGACAGTGATGACACTGATGACATGTTGGGGAAACTACAGAATGTTGGCTCCATACATTTTGATCGATCATTCATCATAAAGAAAGCTTGTAGAGTGAACCATTCCCAGGAGGGTGGGGTGGTGTCATTTACATTCAGATTAGCTTTGTGTCACGCTGCTGATGCTATGATGAGTAGGCTGACATGCACAGCGTGAGGTGGATTCTGCAGATCATCTTGTATAGATGCATAACCAGCGTAGCCAATTATATAGTATATCGACCTCTTGCAAAACTCATTCCACAATAGATGAGGACTGTCAGCGTGTTTCAAGTCTGGAGGTTTGTGTAGAATAAAGAAGTGCATCTTTTGATGGTTTGATAAGATTTGGCTTTCATTATAGCCTGATATATAACATAAAATCTAATAGAGCTGATGTGAATCATGGGGCTGCTAAAAAATGGATTACATAGCTGAAGCACTAGAGCAGATCAATGGCTTCTTAATCTGGCTGAACACATGCATCATTGATTTCAGCTAAATCTGCCATTAAAATTCAATGCTATGCTGCTACATGCATTTCACTGAGCTGGGCTTATAAATGATTAAAAGCACTCTATACATGTACACATGCAAACTAGCACTGCTGTAGCACTGATTTCCTTATTACTCAGTTAGAAATGTAACAGATTATAAGGCGTAGCAGCACAACAAAAAGAATAAGAAATGTTGCAGTGGTATTTAGTGGTAGTTGTGAAGAACTGAAGGTCTTGTTATGTTTACATAGCTCAAAGCTTTTGGGATTGGATGAGTGATTCCACGATTGTCGTGTTTTAACGTTTACTAAATTAATTTATTTTTTCAACACTGAATTTAAGAAAATGTGCATTTAACCATTCAAAACATGCATTAACCCACCTCGGGCAATAATATCTCATTTTCTTCGCTGACAATGACTGCATTAGATAGATAGATAGATAGATAGATGGAAACTTTACTGATGACGAGGGAAACTGCAGATCATTTTTGAGCAGTTTTGCTCTTACATGACAGAATATGTGCATAGAATTATGAAATACATAAAATGTGGTTAAATAGCATTCATATATTTTATTAAAATAAATTACTTTCATTCATAAAATACTTTCATTTCATTTCATTCATAAATTCAAAATGTTGCAAATCATTGAAAATAAGGAAAAAAAGAATGAGAGAACTTTTCTTCTTCCCAAGATCTTCAAGAAATTTGGATGAAGAACAAATATTTCATATGGGTGAATATGTTCAGGTAGTATGGAACTAAAATGTACATTTTTCTTAACGTATAATGGATTCATGGAAAATAATGTTTGAAGCATGAGCTGTTAAATGGATTCATATATTAATGCAAAAAAAAAAAAAGATTTATGAAGTATTTTAATCGTTATCTTTCAATTTAAAATGTAGTCAAGGTTTAGTGGGCTGAAACAGGCAAAAATGCTATTTTCCATATTCTTTTTTTAAAGAACTTTTTTAAATGAATATTTTAAGTTGTTTATCTAAAACATGCGTGTAGATTGTTCTGAAGGACATTTTATCTCTGTTTAAAAGGTCTCTCATTTAACAATCTGTTAGTAAAGTTGTGTGTAAATGTTTGCATAAACCAAACTGAGCTAAAAATTTCTGCTGGATTTACAAAAGTTTCAGAAACGCTGATTTTCTTTGTACTTGAGTGTGTATGTTGATGAATGCCATTCACCTGTAAATTACAAAGTGCGTGCACAGCATAGCTGATTTGTGTTTTGTGACGCCCACAAAACTCCATAAAAGGTCAAGTGCCCAGGCAGCTGTGAGCATGAAATGACCAATCAGGGTAAAAACAGAAGTGGAATTTATTTTGACTCACTACTATGCCACTAAAAAATATTAGTATTAGTATTAAATATTAATATTAATATAGCAGTAAATCTTCTGTCAGCTGAGGCATTTGTTTATTTGTCTGGCCAGTCCTCCATTTATACAGCACCATTTCTTTGGTCATAATTGAATGACTAGTTTTTTTTGCCTTAATTTTTGGGTGTGGGTTGGCTCGCTTTTTTTTTTTTTATTTACTTTTTTATATTCTAGAATTATTGCGAATAACATAAAACAACTGGTTTTCACAAAATGTTCTCGATGGTACTCTTAATCCCTGTCGTAGTGAACTAGCATGAGGATGTCGCTCTGGATAAGGGCGTCTGCTAAATGCTGTAAATGTAATAAACAGTTTAAACTCGACAGTATATTCCATATATAAAAGTGTAAGAAACCATGCAAATTATATGATCTGAAGTTGATCACGTCAAGGTTTACATTAGTTGGTCTTTTTATGTGTATATTTCTACACGCTCAGGAGCACGAGTAGGATACAAACATTTTTCTGGGTTTACAGGATTTTCACGAATACCAGGTTTCTTGTGTAAATGCTCTTACTAACAATTTATACATAAAGCTTGATAAATGAGGCACAGAATTAACGTGCCTCATTAAATGTAAGTGGAAATGTGACGTCGTGGCACACACATGGCACTCGAATCGTGGAACCACTCTGGTACCCTCTTTAGGATTGTGTCTTTTTATGGAAAGAAGAAGGGATCAGAAAGCATGCTGACCTCCAGGAATAAATGCTCCCTTTCTGAGACTTTGTGAAATTGGATTGTCTGTTTTGAAATGTCAGTGGCTTGGAAAACAGCACTAGAGAATATGCAGAGTCTCTTCCAATTACACAGAACATCATGGAAAAAAAACATCTCAGGATCCTATAATGGTAACTACGCTAGACTTCCTCTCTCTACAAGGGCTCTCTGAACAAAATAACCCTCCTTCACAATTAGCTTTAGCTAGCTGAAAGTCATCAAACTGCTCTCAAACCACAAAGGACAGAAGAAGGAAGGAGATACTAGAAACATGGAGATGGTTTTATGCTTACGCTGCCAGGATTGTTATATAAAGTGCCACTGTAAGTGTGGAAGTTTTAATTCAGATTATGTTCATTTGATCTTCTGAAATGTGATGTTAGGTCATGACCCTCACGTCTTCTCTCTTGATTCATGAGATCATATGATTATGTGCTTGGTACGAATTGCCAGGGGGGATGGGAGGATTTCACAACAAACCTCATATTTTGGAGTGCAAAATGAACAGAAAAAGCCCAGAAAAAAAATCATAATGCATTTTTACATCACAAGCGATCACATATTACATATCAGATGTGAAAAACATACAATCACATGAAATTTATCTGTTTTTTCAATAAAGGAAAGTTTCCTTCCACAAAATGTTAGTTGAGATGGGTGTGCATACTTATGCAACCAGGGTGGTGTAGGTTATATGATGTTTTCCTAATAATTACTAAGTTGTTTTTCAAGATGAAAAAATGTTTGGGATGATATTTCTCTTGATTTCTGGCTTTATATCAAAAAAACCTTTTTTTTTCTCACAAAAAAGCCACATTTCAAAGTCTCAAAATGGCCGCAGCAACACATCCAATCACTTCTCATCAATAACATATGCCTTATTCATTTTATCAGGCATTTTATTCAAATTGGTATCAGTGACTGAACTGTTCATACAACTATAACAGACAATGCAGGTTATTAATACTTTCTAGTGCTGCAACTTTATAGCAATAAACATAGTGCAAATAAATTGCTATAACCTCTTGTTGACATTTGTTAGCCTTCACAGAAACATCATTCATCTCACAATAATGACTAAAAAACAGGTCGTTGCTTTCTGAGGGATGCATTTAGCTCGGATACTGGATATGCTTTTCATCATGACTGCTTTCATGAAGTGCCTCGAATATGAATTTCTTTGAGCACAACCAATTGCTGGGGGCAAATTAAAGAAATGGGTTTGTGATTTATTTCCCAGAAGAAATATGCAGATCTCCTGGAACACTTGACATTCACATAAATGTAGCTCTTAAAAGGCATTCTGACTTTTTTTTAAAAATATTTTTCGGAAGTACTGATCTGTGTTGAGAACCACCCCCATCCCCCCTTCCCCCCGTCCCCCCACCCCCCCCATCAGAAAAATGACAGTGCTTATTATGAAATTATGAAATTACCTGCTGAATCAGGTAAAGAAATCTTTCTGTCTGTTGGAGTGCTTCATATTTTTCACAGACATTGTGTCATGTGCTGGATGAATACTTTTTTTTTTTTTTAACCTTGAATCACTTTTAATGTCTGGTAAATTACTCTCCCATTTAATTCATTCAGTTTATCATCAATCATTTTTCCCTCCACTGCCTCATCTCTTGCATCATCTC